GTTTGGAAGAGGCCTTTGTCCACAGGGGACAAACGGATATAAACCTAACTAACTTGACATAAACTTTAAATAATATAATGTAATGTAATGTAATATATCTGAATAAAGGCTTATTATTATTATTATTATTATTATTATAAGTGAGTTTAATATTCTCAATAAAGCTAATAGAATAGAAAAATTTAAAGTATTCTTTAATTCATATAGTATGTATGTTGATAATAATTGTTACATAATAATTTGGTTTAAGGTTCCATCCTTGCTGGATCCAATAACAAGCAATGGCAACAGTACAACTGCCAGTGTGAGCAAGCTATCTCCAAGCAATGCTAAGAACATTACAATTACACAGACCAGTCCGGTCCGGACAAGGAGGTCGCATTATCATCACAGGTAACTGGCTGCTTTCACATAATACAGTTATAACAAATTTAGAAGTACATAGTATGTTACTGCCTATTATAATGTAGCCATAATGTATACAAGAAAATATGCCCAAATAAATTTTGAGTAAGAATTATAGTCTTATTAACTATTAGGTGTGCAACTAAGTTCGTTCTGTTTGTCAGTAGATAGCTCTAGCAGTAAGAGCTGGTTGATTTTGACATATCCAAAACATCTTGAACCAAGCTTAGACATATGGTAAACAAACCGTTGCGACACATGAGTGATTTTATTTTCGCATTATACACTTCTGGTCAAGTAAAAATGTCGAATTTCGTGCCAAACAATCGTCATTTGCGGGAAGTGTTGATTTTCTTTTTTCATTCGAAAAAAACGGCAGCATCGAGAGCTTCAAAAAGTGTACGGAAACGCTGCTCTAAGCGAAACAACATGCCGTGATTGGTTCCGTCGCTTCAAAGACGGTGATTTTGATATTGACGACCGTCCACGTGAAGGAAGACCCAAAACCTTCGAAGACGCTGAATTGGAGGCATTGCTCGATGAGGATTCGTGCCAAACTCAAGAAGAGCTTGCTGCAGAATTAGGAGTTACCCGTCAAGCCATTTTAAAGCAATTGCATGCGTTGGGGATGATTCAGAAGCAAGGAACTTGGGTTCCTTATGAGTTGAAGCCAAGAGACGTTGAGCGTCGTTTTTTCGTCTGTGAACAACTGCTCCAGCGGCAAAAACGGAAGGGTTTTCTTCATCGCATCGTGACGGGTGATGAAAAATGGATTCATTACAGCCCAAAGAGGAGAAAATCCTGGGGACTACTCGGGCATGCTTCTACGTCGTCGGCTCGGCCGAATATTCACGCTGCGAAGGTTATGCTGTGCATTTGGTGGGACCAGGTCGGTGTTATTTATTATGAGCTCTTGAAACCGAACGGTCTTCGAACCATCGAACAAACGAACGGTCTTCGAACCATCGAACAACCGAACGTTCTTCAAACCATCGAACGAACTTGAGCGGTATCGAACTCAATTGATGCGATTGAGCCGATCACTGCGCGAAAAACGGCCACAATACATTTCACACGATTCATTTGTAACCATTTTTTAATATTAAAGTTATATTTTTATCGAAAAAAAAGCGAGAACTTAGTTGCGCACCCAATATATATTTTTTTTAAATGGAACAATAAGAATATTTTTGAAAATAAAACAAATTCTTACCAAGATTCTACTTAATTTGTTGTTTGGAATGTTTTTAATTTGTGTAAATATTTATCATAACATAGGAATAGTGGAGAAAGTCGTCGCGGTAGACTGAGTGAAGATGGGTCGACAGGTCTCTGTCGTCACACTGATTCAGGCCGATCATCTGACAGCAGTATTAGCAGCGCACAACAGAGACGGAAACAGGTGATTTTTTTTAATATTCTCTTAATCATGAAATATGGATATTTCAGTCACATTTATCTTAGGAATGGATCCAAACAACAAAGTCATTTCTTCGTAGATTAACACTGCAATAAAATTCCGCAACAATGAGAGACAATTAATATTCTACTATTGATAAATAATTTCTAATAGGAATTAAAAATTAAAAATACGAAAGTTTCATAATAATAGATCCCTGGCTGTCCATCCTCTTTTGCGTGTTTCCTGAGCGGCGACCTCTGAGGATGCAGCTAATCGTATGCACCGTTCTATTGCAACATCCTGTTATAAACAATGTAGAAACGATAATGACGTATCGCTCGACCCAAATTTCGTTGGTCTAATTTTATGCTTTAAATGCGTAAGTGTCAGGGAAAGGTTGAAAGGGTCATATTGTGTTGTATTCACATTAAAGTCATAATAAATAATACGGACGTCGTGTACTAGCATAGCATAGCTATTTGTTATCGTATAAATTGACATTTCTAAGAAATGGTAACGATGCAATATCGAAAGTCTCATAAAATTATGTTCAAACATTTAGAAATTGTAGATTAACACTAAAGTTAGGAATTAAAACTTTGTTTTTTGTTTTGTGTTTCCCTTAGTTTATGTTATATGTTCGATTTATTCTTGTCTTAAGTGTTCTTGACATAAATAATATGCAAATACTATGATTGCCTAATAGAAACAAATTATAAACGGATATACAACGAATTACGTTCGATGTAGATCAATTTGCGGGAAATAGAAGGGTTTGTTAATAGCAATTTTGCAACCTCTTTATTTCCTTTAGTAAATGAACTGTTTACTGTTGCGATATTAATTTCTAGATGTCATCTTTATTTTTATGCTCAAAGAACATTAACACTTGTGATAAAGTATTACATCACCGAGAGCATTGTTCTCGCGTCTGATAACTTACATCGTCTTTATATCATTATGTACAATTATCTTTTTAATAGTGTGTATAATACAAAGGATAAAAAGATAAAAAGATCTTATCAGTGACTCACAATGTAGGACGCAGAATTTAATTTCGGTACTAGCATTTTTTTTTCTTTTCTTGTATTAATATATTACAAATGTTAATTGGTAGCTACGGTATTTATAAGGGGTAAAGGGATAAAGTTACCCGTTCATTTTCCTACACTGGACCCATTGCACGCACGGATTTGCTTTGTCTTGACGCGATGCGATACCAATATCCGTTGCGGACCGTACGTGCGGTATATTCGCGGACCAATATACGCTTACCATTAGCAGAAATTTCTCTATGTTTTACTTAACTTACTTTACTATAACGTGACATCAATATAATGCCAAGTAAATATTCATTTTATACCAACGTAATTTAACAATTGTGATAGGAGTTGAGTGCGGTGGCGTGCAGTGTGCCGGTGTGCACGCCGCAGCTCCGGAAGAGGACCAGTGCAGCACAACCGCACGATACAGACAAATGGTCGCCACACTCAGGTCAGTATTACTCTATGTTTTCATTGCCTATAAACTCATGCAAAATCAGATTATATACACCATTTACATTACATATAAAATTTAACAATAGAAACCCAATCTATCTTAATAGTTTTTTTATATTAAAAAGTAAAATGTCTATTTTAAATAGGCCACAATAGTTTCTAAATTTATTAACCCGTAATGTTTTTAGTTACAAAATTCCTGGTGATAAGGATTCATTACATTAAAAAATATTTTTTCTAAGTATTATTATATTGTGATTTTATCCTTTAATTGCAGGTCTAAACCGCAGCGGCAGCTTTATATCTCCCAGGAAAGATACGTCTGACGATTCTATGCATGAAAAGTATTTCAAGTCCGTAGAGAGTACGCCATTGACTAGACGTAAGGTAATCAATGAATTGTTTATAACTTAATATCATAATACGTTACAACCATTTTTAAATCGCATGCTTCAGTTAAAATGTTTAATATTAAAAGTGTATTGCCAATGTTTGTAATTTTTACCCTTTCTAATTTCATAAGTAATTTACATGTTTTTTTTATTCATAGTAGATTTAGCACCTGTTGTTAATTTTACATTTTAATTTGAACCAACAGCTTAAACAACAATCTGCTGGAGGTTCCTCGTGTGATTCTGCATCCCCTCAAAGTCCTAGCAGCCCTCTGCAAAAACCACAACCTACACCTTTCTTGCAGGTATCTGTTCATCACTTTAGTTAACCTTGAAGTTCAATTTCATTTTCATTACTGTAATGTCGATTTTTAACCGTATTTATTGTAGAATAGATGAATGATGAGCTAATGTTGCTAAAATTGCGAGTGTACTTCATTGAGGTGCTAAAATTTTATTGGAGGAGAAAGGAGAGAGCACTTTCAGTTATGATATTTATCTAGCTAGTAACTGTGAATTAATACCAAGAGAGAATATTTTAAACATTCATTTGCATATCTGATTTACCACATATCATTGTGATGTTTATTTCAGCCGACCGCAGCTCGGCCATCGCTGGTGTCGTCAATATCTCTGGCGACGGAGGCGGCGGGCACGCGCCTCATGCACAGCCTGGAGCGCCCGCACCAACTGTCGCGACATGCCCGGGAACGATTCTCAGACAGGTTTGTTATACCTTAATGTTTATGCCCTCCTGGTACCTAATTTGCATAAAGAACATTGTTGTGAGTTTCCACTGTCTGAAACATATGTAAAAACATATTACTAGATTTTATTTCAACGAGTATGTGAGAGCAACGTGTATAAGAGCCTACAAGCATTTATGGGTGCTTAGTACTTTCAACTTCAAATAGGTCATTGAACTTTTTCAAGGAATTTAGTTGACATGCACTGTACTTTTTCAATGTATAAATGTCATTGAACTGTGTACCAGTTCGCTACATGCACAATGTTTATTATTCTGCAACTATTCATGCCATATTCCTAATATGGTTTGAATCAAAACTCATCTCACGTACCATACTGCTATGCAATATTTGCGCATCCTTTTTTGTTATTTTACGAGTGAGTGCAGTTTGCTTTTATGACCCTGGCCAAGTAAATATGGCGCTCAGAATATTATTTAAAAATGTTTTATTTATGTTATTTATTTGTTTTATGTTGTATTCTATGACTGACTTCTGAATTCATTAATCCAAGAAGCAGAAATGCCGTTGTAACTTCAGATGGATCAGTCTAATATAATTTTTAAGTAACGGTATTTAAGTTGGCATATTGGGAACGAGAGCACTCCATTCCCGGCGTGTCAACGTAGGGCCGAGTACTAAAAATATATGTTTGCAGGCACTTAGATAAGGATCGCCTTGCGGAACTGGACCGCATGGAGCGGTACCCAGAGAAGCAAGCGGTGTACAGCGTGGACAAGCCCTTCCGACAGACCAGTCTCGACCTGCGCTACAACTCCGCCACAAACTGGTATCAACCTAGGGAATTTACTAGGTTTGGATATTTCTGTTTACACATCGATAGTGATAATTGTCGTTGTTTATATGAGGTCCTTACTTACGTTATTGGTTATGCTTTATTAATAGCAGTTTAATGTTTTTGTATGGTATAGTCATTATTGTGTGTGAAGCAGGCGTCAGCAGGCGGAGCCCGAGCGGGAGCGGTACGCGGGCAGCAAGACGTCCTCCAGCGGCAGCGGCAAGCGAGCGCACGAACACAACTTCATGCGCCTCTCCTCCGCCAACGAGCAGGACAACATCGCCGCAGGTTAGTGCCCACGACACACATCTAAACAAAAAGACATAGATATATTATTGTTAACTAGACTAATGAATTCTAGCATTTAATGTATTTTATTTAATTTCATTACTACCATGCCAATGTTCAAGTGAGGAAATGTCAATAAATACATATTAGTATATTATTGTTCTAGTTAATTACAAACTGAAATGTGTGAATCTCGAGCCGCCGCTAACAGAACCAAATGTACAAAAGCACAATCAACGTTTTGAGAGGACGGAGAAAGTGACCGCGACCAGAGATAGGACCAAGTCACGACGTAAGGTTACTTTTAGTACATCGTTTATCATTTTTATGTAAGGAATTTTGTGTTTGTCACTATTTTGCTTTTTAGGGCACAAAAAACCTGTGGAATTGGAGGAAACTCAAATGGACGGCGAAGACGAAGATGAAGAAGGCGGTGGATCCCCGTTGTACTGCAACTGGGACTTACGTGGCATGCAACATCTGCTGCCTTTACAAGATTACATTATACAGCAAGCTAAGTTATCTAGTGAGTACTTCAAGATATTTTCTTCAGAGACTTTAATGTTCCGTATTGTTCGTGTAAGCAACATTTATCTTCTGGATACACCTGTATATAAGAAACTTATTAGAATCGACGTTCGTTCACAGGTCGCGGTCGTTACACCGGTGGGTCGGAGTCGGACGGGTCGTCGGGGTCGTCGCGATCCGGGTCGCGGTCGCGCTCGCTTTCCGGCCACGAGCCCGACAACGAGTCGTCGGACGGCGGCGCTCGCACGCCCGACGACGACGACGGCTCGGGCGTGTACCTGCCGCACGCGTACCGCACCGATGCAGAGTATATGAACCACGGGGTCGCTTATTACAATACCTTTGTCGGATTTGATAGAGATCGACAGCCCTCGCCTGGAATACATAGGGTGAGCTTAATTCTTTGTTAAATAGAACAAAATGCGTAAAAATATAAATTATAAATTTTAAGAACGGTTATGAAATGTTTTTGTGGAATCTTGAATTGTTTTTTAGACTTCTTCGCTGGGCGGTGGTGCAACAGCCCAGGGTCCCGGTGGCAGTGTACCGGACGGCGCGGGCGCGGCGGGCGCTGCGGGTGGCGCGCTGTACAGCCCGGTACGGTCGCACCCGTTGCCGCATGCGCACGTGCCCGCCGAACAAGACATAGAGATCTTCGCCAAAGACAATCTTAACTTCAATAAAGGCATTTTCAGGAGAAAGGTATGTGCTAGATTATAAAGCTGTAAATATATTTGGCTAATGTAGGGAACTGAGACGAATGATTGTACATACACTAATAATGGACATTAACATCAAAACGATAATCTAATTTTATCCTACTCAAAGGACCATTACTTATAGAAATCGTATATAGATATACACTGAAGTTGTATGCATTTAAATGTATCGTTAACATTACATATGACTATTTATTTAGGCGTCGGTCCGAGACATGTTATCATGGACGTCGTCGTCCATCAGCGCGCCGATGGTGGGCGCGGAGTGGGACAAGGCGCACAAGAAGGCAGCCATCGATCTGTTTCGACTCGTGCAGATTTATATGGGAGACCGCAAGGCGCGCCCCGGCATGACGCTCAACTCCGTCGCCCAGGATATATTGCATGCCACATTTACCAATGAAAAGTTAGTACATTTTGTTATGAATAATGCTTAATGTATGAAATTTTATGAGGTATGTAAAAGATTTTAATTATTGTGTGATTCAAACATGTGCAGGTTACGCGATGAGCTGTACGTGCAGCTGTGCCGGCAGACGACGGAGAACCCGCTACGGGACTCGCTGCTTCGCGGCTGGGAGCTGCTGGCGGTGTGCCTCGCCTTCGTGCCGCCCTCACCCGCCTTCCAGCCCGCACTCACCAACTACGTCAACAGGCACAGAGACCCCGCATTCGCTGATGCCTTCCCGGAAGTAAGATTTAACTATCTTTTCTTTCGATGCAAGCTTATAATTTCTGTTTCACTAAAACGATTGCTGGTGTAGATCATTACGAATAATAAAACTTTTAGAAAGGCAAGTAGTATTTTTTCTATGTTGAAGACAGATGAATGCAATGAATTGTTTGCAGGTTGGTAAATGGCCGATCCACGTTCAAGTATCGCACTATGCCGGAGTGGCGTGTAAACGTTTAGAAAGAATCGGTTTTGGCGGGAAGCGGCAGCCAAGAAAACCCAGCACCGAAGACATAGACCAAGCTAGGGTAAATTTAAAATTAACATTGTTATGTGGGTGGCGTGATGAAATATTTGAAATCAAAGCCTAATCACAATTTTTTTAGTTGCACACAGAATAGAATCGTGGTACCAT